TGCAGCCCAAGCGTCAATCACACATTCCAAAATGTATCCAGGCTCAACGCCTGCTTAGCTTCCAAGAGAGGGCGCATCCTGGGTCATTCTTGTTTCATGCGTACATTGCATCAGCATGTACAGCTATATCTATATAAAGCGTATATGAAAGCATATATATATGAAAGCACGGGCTGTAAGCTTGAGCTTGGTAATGATGCCAAAATGACTCTTCATTGTCTCACCACGCCCACCATTTTACACGCGATTGTTGGGGGTGGCTCTGGGTCAGGATTCACTGAAGGCTCGGCGTGAGCGGACTTGCGTCGTCACCACCACCACCATCACAGGCCACGTTGACTGTTTGTCCTTTTCATTACCTCCCCAAAAAAAAGCTATCCACCACTGGACACACTGACACCCCATTTCCCCTCCTCCCGTCCTTCCCGAGAGCGGGCGAGGAGTGTCCGTGTCCAGCTGGCAGCGCAGTGTGTCCTGCACTCTCTATTAAGTGAAAAAGCAAAGCCCGCAAGTCTCGTTTTGTTGTTCGTTGTTGTTGTTCGGGTTTAAAGAAGAATAAAACCCCCCTTGCCTTTTTAATGAATGTTGCGTTACTGTGCTGAAGGCGCCGCTTGTTCGCTCGCTCACATCAGGAGGTCCCATGATGATTCGCTCACATCACCCGAGTATTTGGACATCTGTGAAAAAGAGCTTTATTGCTCATCGGATTCCTCCAGTGTAAATAAATATTCTGATTGTGATTTATATGAATTGAGAGTTGCGTGTGCACAGGGTAGAGAGGAGACGTTTCTTCCCGTGGCATGCTCGTAAATCCGTTTAATAGATAAGCTGATATAATGATATTGAGGAATTACAGAGAAGATATATATTTTTTTTATTTCAAGGCTTCTACTCGTCTCCCATCAATCTAATTACAGTTATTCATCAGCTATCGCTCTTTCATATCCATTCACCTGTTGGGAAGGGGGAGTTATCAGGTTCATTAGAAATCATCATGGGACCTCCTTTGCCAGTGTCAGAATATAAGAATAGGTTTTCCCCTTTTTTCTCGCAACAAAACAGGTGTTAAGATGTTAAAATACCAAACTGAAACCTTTTGCAAGGAATCATGTCTGTATTAACCACAGATACTTGTGAAAATAAAAAAAACATACTCTGACAGTATATGCATTGTCTTTTAAACTGATTGGTCTACACCAGAGACAGCTTTCTTTAGAGCTTAGTCTCAAACAGTGTTAGATCACTGTGTTAGACCACTGTTTGAGACTAGGCTCTAAAGAAAGTTGTCTCTGGTGTGGACCAATCAGTTTCAAAGACAATGCATATACTGTCAGGGCATGTTTTTTGTTTGTATTTTCACCACAAGTATTGTGGTTAATGCAGACATGATTCCTTGCAAAAGGTTTCAGTTTGGTGTTTTAACATCTTAACACCTGTTTTGTTGCCAGAAAAAAAGGGGAAAACGTATTCTTTCATTAGAAATTAGTGAGGTATCTATAAATGCATCGTCATATGTAATTTAAATATATACGCAGAACTTATTCTGTCACAAATATGAATGGAAAATATTTTGAGTCCATGAGCCTCTTGGCTTATCGGGCTGAGCATTATCCAGCAGAATTTGTTTAAACAAGCAAACTCTGAACTGGAGAGACCTGGGTCTCATCAGCAAAGTCAGACTTGTTTAACAAAATAATGCTGCTGCGTTGCCAATAAGTTACTAGCGAGAGCAATCTCTAAACCATGGGGCCCTGTTCAACCCCTGTTTAATCTGTGTAGTTGCCAAACACTTTTCAGACACAGTTTTGCTGGCTCGTTTAGTCCAAGACCGAGTTTATTATCGCGCTGTGGTTGTGCTTAATTTCCGTAACTTTATTTCATAATTTTTTTTAATTCCCTTAATGTGTTGTTGGTTGTTGTGAAATTTAGAGCAGGGCACCATTGTGGAATGTCTAAATGTCACTCCCAAGGCAGCGTACAGTTTGACAAAAAAAATTGGCCCTCGGCAAATATTGAGCCCTGGATATAATTTTTCTATTTTTTTGTACATATGCTGGAAGAATTAGAACACGGCGTGTAACTAAACGACAAATGATTTGTGACGTTGTGAATGCTTTTTGTGCAGGCTAATCAATGATTTTCACGTGTGCTTGCTTCGGGAGAAATATGGATTTATTCTTTTAAAGAAAAATAGAGCGCACCATCTGGAATTAATTTCTGCGTTTTTATTGCGCGGGGCACTGAGCAGCAGCCCTGACAGGACAAGAGAAGCTTGGATAAGGAAAAAAATGCGGCACGTCTGTTATGTTTGAGTGCGTGTAACCAACCTGCTTGTTTGATCCATTCATTCTTTAAATTAAAAAATTGTAACGCTCGCAAATGTAAGTTAAAAAAGGGACTTTCAGAGACGCGGGAGAATTACTCAGAAAAGTCTTGGAGAGTCTCTGACACGAGGGGACGATGCCCGACGTGTGGCGGCGCAGTGAGAGGGGAAGGACGCGGTGAAATCCAGGCGGCTGGAGCCGTGATAGCAGAGGGCCTCGTCTGGCTCGAGAGGTGACGAGGTTCGACGCGGAAGGCCGCTTTGAGGTTGGTCGGAGTTTGCGAGAGACGACACGGCCGAAGCTAAACATGCCGGTTGGCACCCAGCGCCACCATCGCATGTGTGAGCTTTGTAACAGAAGACGGCGACTTTTTGCAGAAAAGCGTCGTGAAAACGGGGAAGCCAGTCAAGTTGAAATTTTGAGCTGCAGGCACGACCATTTGTTCACGCATCTGATAGAGGAGGCATGTGTGCTCTTGTGGCTGTGGGTTGACCCATGTGCAGGAGCTCTGTGATTTTTATATACAGTATCTTTTTTACGACGACTACTACAGCCGTGCAGCGTTTCCGCTCCTTGGGAGAAATGCGTAAGCATTATGCAAGGCACGAAAAAAATATGAATGCGTTAACCTCACCGGGGACCATTTGTGCCGTGTAAATAAAGCACGAGATGTCTCCTTGTGAGTCGATGCTATTTCAAGTAACGTCGGGTATAAATTTAGTTGGGATTGTGGATGCGTGCTAATCAGATCGGATTTACGCGTCGGCTCATCCCCCCCCTCCTCCTCCTCCTCCCCCATTAATATTTCTTTGTTATTCGCTCTTAATTTGTGGTCATGGCCGGCCACGTGTTTAATTGTGGCCGTTCATGTTCCTTAATCTGCTGAGCAACGCAAGAGTGGCTTACGATCCAAAATAACAACGTCGAGTTATAAACTAACAGCCGCCCCCGGAGCTTGCATGCAGGAGATAACTTTTTCAACGTTTCGGACGCAATCGCTCCTGAAGGTTCGCACAGCGCTGAGACGGTGTTTGCCGTCGCGTTTTGAGTGCTTGGCCAGGTATACCTGGCCAGGTATACCTGCCAGGTGTGTGCCCGGTGGCGGTGGTTTGCGAGCGCGTCTGTTGCTTTGCTTTGAGCCGTACCCATATTAATATGGATTTTTCAGTGGTTGATGAGATACGATGGGGGGGGGGGGGGGGGAGTGGGGCTCAGGTGCGTTGTGTATTTGTGTTGTGAGCTTGTGATTGGTCAGTGGGGGTGGGGGGGTCTGTGCGTGTTGGCGTTGTTTCAGTGTGGTTAGATATTTTAAAATCCTTTGGCATCTTTGCGCGACCCCAACCCCGATTGGCTGCCGCACCACATATTGTTCCATATAGTTCACTCTTTATCACTACACCGCAGTGTGTGTGTGTACATCTCTTTGTCTACGTTCTACAGAGTCTCCAACACGTGAACAGGGACCCAAGCTGTGGTCCGGGCCGTTGTAGCTGTAATTAGTGTAGTTAGCCTGGTGGTCACCACCGTAAGTTGTTATTCTGTTAAGGGGTAGTTATTACCCTGTGTGTTGGTGATAATAAATGTGGTGCCTCCAAAGAGGACGTCTGCGACTCGGTTGAACCCACTAAACGTCATTCAGTTCCACTATTCCATAGCATTGTGATACACAGCCACATGCTTTACAAAAAAAATAAACGTTGATAAGACGAATAAATTGCGTGCGATCCCAAAAAAAAAATACAGACACGATGGTATTTTAAAATTATTTTAGCTATAGGCTTGAGAGAACAAATAAGTCTTCAGTCTAGACCTGAGCTGTGACTGTGTCAACTGCGCGGAGAACACCGTGGCATACACCTTGACTTTCGAAAAAAATGCCAAAAAACCACGACTGCTGTTGCCTGGGTAACAGCCAACTCGGCACTTGGAGATCGTTTTTACTAATCCGTGAGCTTTACTTTGCTTCATTTGCGCATGTTCTGTTGAATGCTGATCGTCGGCGCCGTGTTTTGTTTTCAAACATGATTACTATTAAATAAAACTCTTAATTTACCCTGGTGATTTGGCGAGTCGCTTGGCACGAGCGAGCGGCGGTGGCGGCGCTGGCGGATACTGAAGTTGTTTGGTTGCGGAAGCGGTGAGGAGCGTTAACGTAGCGTTGGTTGCACTCGGCAGTATTGGTGGCTGTCTTGATGATGGTTGTGGTGGTGGCAGCAGTGGTGGTATAGTATGAGGAGCGGTGGTGCAGCGGTTAGCGCTACGCTGCGCTACGAACTTGGCGACTCGAGTTCGATTCCCACTCACGGCAGACACCAGTGACGATTATCTGAACTGGTTCTGGGCCTCCCCTAGGTTTACTCAGCCTCAAATGAGTACCTGGTGCGATGTGTAAACATCGCCACTAGGGAGACAAAGGCGGCCGGGCGTGGTGTTGGCCACCCACCCCCTCGTTTGCCGTGCTGGGTTTAATATGTGCTCGCTATCAGCTCTTGCCCCAACAGTCTGTTAAAGCTATACGGGGGATCTTTCTTCTTTGTCATTGTTATAGTATAAGTGTTGGGTGTCCTAATGGAAGCCACAGTGGTGGTGGTTGATGCCGGTGTGGTGCCTTTCGTGTCTTTGCGGCGTCAGTAACCCTCCGTCTCCTCCCTCTCGCGGGTTCGTCGCCGCGTGCAGGACGAGCTGCTCGCCGTCTCCGAGAAGGTGGTGCTGCGTCTGCGGGACCTCGTGCGTTGGGCCTCGGGCGTCGAGCTGCCCCCCTGGGCCGGGGGCCCCTCGCCGGGCACCCGCGACGCCCCCTCCCCGCACGGGGCCCACTGTCAGGGCCTCGCGTCGACGCGCGGGACGGCCGCGGTCTGCGGCCTCGACTTTGGCGACGTGGAGAAGGAGCGCGCGCAGCTCGGTGAGTTACTTCCCCCGTCCCGCCGTCCTTGCAACTATCCCGGCCCTTTCCTATCGCGTCCGCAGAACAACTTTCTAGGTCACGAAGGCCTTGTTTCCACGAGCGCTGGGAATTGGTCCGAACTGATTTTGAGATTGCGTGGACCGGAGCTGCCTCTATACCTACCCCCCGTTGCAGTGTCGCCAACTCCTTGAAGGGGAAAGACGCCAAAGGAACCTCAGAAAGTTGATGGGTGTCGCTGGGTAGACTTCTAGAGCAAGGGGTCGGCAAACTGTGGCTCCGGAGCCGCATGCGGCACTTTAAGGAGTGCTTTGTGACATAATTTATTAAGCACCACCGTCTCGTATTTACATGCATTGCGGCTCTTGAAATATTGTTTTTTTATACCGAATTCGAAATAAATGGCTTTTTTTGTTATTTTGGTTGCCGACCCGTTCTCTAGAGTTATCAGAAATGTCACGAGAAAATATACTAAGTGTGAGCCCTAGTAGCAGTAAACGGATACAGCAGAAGGAGGTGGGAGTGTGGAGAGCCATGGGTGGGAAGTTGTACGATTTCTGCGGTGCCAAATGAAAACTTAGCCGTGGAAACGTTGCTTCAAAGCTGCGCCTGGTGCCTGCATGCATTTCAAATTCCAGGCCCGCAGACGCTTAGTAATTTCTTGAGCAGTGTCTTGGTTCCCTGTTGTTATCGGCACCGGTAACAATAACAACAACACCACCACCACGGTAATGCTGATGTTTACAACGCCACGTGTAGTGCAGGCGTGTAATCTTTAACAACACGGTAGCATGGCAATTATAGAAATGTAATTAACCTTTAGAACGGGGAAAGAATGTACACGATGGTGGTTAGCGCGCTGTGATAATATTGAACCCGGCACACTGAATTCGATGCCGGGCTGAGGCTTTGAGTTGGCAGCAATTAATATATGTGCGCCGTCCTCATTACTAACAACCCACACTGACCAGCATGGTGAAGCATGGTCAAACAGTTCCCATGACTGACCCCGGGCATGACGGAGGCCTTTCATTCAGCAGTGGATTGACACAGGTCCTAAATAAAATAAAAAGTGTGCAAATAGCATATCACATACACTCGTATACTGTAACATGGTATGGTGATTTGTTTCAAACGTCACGCCGGGGATGGGCACGCGAAATAAATAAATCGACGTGCTTTTTTCATGACGGGCACATATATTACAGATGTCCCACACGCTGTCCTGTTCGCGCACACACACGCTGTGGGCTCCGTGTGCGCCCGTTGGTATTTGCCGTTTCCGTGCCAGCGTTTTCCAGCGGTTGGCATGAGCGCAAGGGATTAGTGGGGTTTTTTTTTGCCGCCGAGAGGGGGAGGAATGCGCCATCGGCAACAACGTCTCGTCCGCGGGACCCCTGGGCGTTGCACGGGCCCTCGGCGTGCCGCCGGCCCGGTTGGCCACAGTCATCGCCGCCGCGTGTTCTCGAATAGTTTTCTCCCGCGCATCGCTAATGAGGCATCCCTTGTGAATGCAAATGCTCGATACTGTAGGTTTTTTCTTTTGTTTTGTGTGTGTGTCTCACTGTGCCCTGCGTCTAATGGCATTACAAACAGATTTATTGCTCAAGTGAGCACCGAGGCGGTGTTCATCTCCTGTTTACAGTCCTAAGCCAAATTCCACATTACTATGACGGGGAGGAGGGTGAGTCTGTCCATAGCCCATTCACTTGCCTTTTCCACAGAATGGTGCTCATTGTATCGATCCCGAATAGATAATGGGATGAGTGAACTCCCAACCAGGCTTTGATCTCGCAACCTTACGATCGCGTGCCGCTCACTCTCCCGTTGAACCACCTGGATGCTCTGCATCTCTGGGGCCTTACAATCGTATTGCATTGTTGGGAGCATGCCTGGTTAGTCATTGTAATTAACATAATAACGTACGCACCTTTGGACGGTGGTAACCCTCCCCACGCCGCATCTACGTACCTGTAAACCCATACGGTTTACCCCGTATTCTTGTATAGGGAAATTGAGTTTTCAGGTCCATACAGCATACAGCCATTTCGATACGGACAAATTTTTTTTTGTCTGTTTGTGTTTCTCTCTTGTGATGGGAAAGACTTTGTAGGATGAACGTTGATATGTTTTAAGGGCACGGGGTGACCACTAAGGTCTGAATTGGTCTGTCATTAGGTAGGAACTGATCAGGATGTTTGTGTCTATCGTGGAGACCATATTTCGCCGCGCTATTCAGTGTGGTTTGGTGAAGGAGGATCGGTACCCATCTTACTCGCCACTGATGTCAGCCGTGGCAGTGCGCCAACCACTGAGCCAACTGCCCTCCACCTGGTTATCTCTGTAGATTAGGGAGGTGTTCCCGATGTTAAAATTAATCTGAAATATACAAAAGTCTGGCCCAGATATTACATTTTGTATGGTTTGAAAAAAAAACACATTTGTTTGCAGATTGATGTCATGATAAATTATCACATTACATCACTTTCGTACTTTTTAACCGACACAAGTGGTGTCACGTACCATGTCATGGGTGACATCACTATTGTTTGCATGAAGAAAACTTCAATTCAACAACTAGTGCAACTCACTCAAAAATACGGAAAACAGATCCAAAATTGTGCAAAAAAAATCAGATTTTTCTAATCGGAAACCTATCCAGATAGTGTTTACGAAGAGGCATTAACTCATTCATACCTAGTCTCTCATTTTACTGGGTTTAAATAAATTGAATAAACGCCGTGAAACAGCAAATTCCAAACGTAGAAACAGAACAGACACTGAAAATGACACGAGTTGAAAAAGTTTTTCTCGCAATAAAGAAACCAATTTGACTTCTACATACCCAATATATATCCGATGTTAAAACCAGCAAAATAATCAGCAACAGAGAGCGTTGGCCTGGCGGCGAAACTGAAACCCGGCGCAGGTGGAATTGGCACCTAAACGTGTCGTAGATGCAGAAGCGTTCCACGTTCAAAAGACATTCCCCCTCCCCACCACAATTTAGTACAGTGTTGACTTCTGGACCATGACATAACTATTTTTTAGCTCGTCTTAAATGATCCGGTGTAACCCGATACCTCTTGGGCAGGCCTTACTGCCAAGAGGCCATGCGTTGGACTGAGTGGCTGGCTTTGTGACCCCCCTCGGTTCAATCGCTCTTGGCGTTGCTGATACGGGTCGGTATGGACAGCCCTAGAAGTTTTATTCTCAACATTGTCACAGTACGGTCCTTAGTGTGGTCCGGCTTGCAATGATGTCCCACATCCATCGCCTTGCCTCACCCACTGCCACGACTGCCACCAGAGCTCAATAAAACATGCAATCCACAGGCACACCGGCCGTGCTTTGCTTCTGAAAGTCCACAATGTCCTCGTGCCTAATTTTAATTTCCGTGCCGTGTCGATCGGTGTCTTTACACGAAAACACACGTGGTAGTTTTCAACACGTGGGCGTTCTTTTTATACGATAGTTCTGGTGGTTTCTTTTGTTAGAGGAGGCCCTGCCTCCGGTCACCGCCTCCACCTTCCTTCACCACCACCACCACATATGTGCCCTCCCTCTCCACCCACAGTCTGGCCCTTTCAACTACTTCCCTGGAAGTATGAAGCCAGTCTTTGTCCCATCCTGTTTGCTAAGGAGCGTCCTGCTTGTGTAGATCATTCTTTTGCATCTTAATCAACTGCAGTCTTCAGGCAATCTCGGATAGAAGCTGAGGCAATGGTATATTAATTTAAAAACATTCTGAAACAAACTCAATCTCCCTATATATAGCGTTACAGTACGGTCCTTTGTGTGTTTTGATAACGATCTAGAACAATTTAGTCGCCAAACAAGCTCCATAAACGTTTGTGGACGTTGTGCCTATATACAGCGTATTGCCCTAGTCAGTATGCTGGACTGTTGCAGGAAATACATCTGCTTTCTTCTAGTTGAACGGAGATTTTTTATTGATTTATAAATAAATAGGTGTTTGTGTAAACGTGAACATTCTATAAACACTTGAGGCTAAATAGAGCTCCGATTATGCCTTTTCGGGGTCCACGCTTGAACCTGTTTTTTTTTTAAAACCTTTTACTAATTGTACTTAAATGGAAATGATAACATGCTAAATCTACCAGTATATAAATACAAATCATAAATTTGCCATGTACTAAATATACAGTGTTTATATAAATATGCACACGCGGTTAACAAGTAATGAAGGATCGTGTTGGCACAAATGTGACACCGACGAACAAAATAAAGCGCACGGCGGTGCACGCGCACATACACAAACACCCCGTCGTCCCGCGCCACCCCGATGGATTTACCAATCCGCCGTCCAGGTTTGCGCAAGGGCTTGACTCATGTTTTAACTGAAGGAGATTGGGAATACTGTAGTTGGAGTCTAAACGACCAGAGTTTCAGAAAACCGCAAATGAAACTCAGGGCCATTGTCGCTCTTAATCCCCTGTTGTATGCATTTTAAAAAATCATAGGGCAGTGTTTTTGACAAATTTGTCGGGTTATTTGTGTTTGTGCACCATTGCCACCAGTGCAGCATCAGCAGTATTGAGATTAATTTTTTTTGCTTGTGTTTTGGCATTTGAGTCTTGACCCCTCCCCACTCCGTTAGCATGATCCCACTTGCTGCACTGCATCGTGACCGCCGTTGGTGGTGGTGGTGGTGGGGGGAGATGCCCTCGGCTGGTGGGGGGTGGCTGGTGAGAGGGGGGCCCCCCTCATCGTTGCCGGCGAGTCGTTGGCATCTCGGTCCCGTCGTCGAATAATCGCTCGCTCGCTCTCTTGCTCGCTCGCTCCGAGGCCCACCGGTTCCTGCGAACGATTCTCAAGTCTTCTTGGTTCTTTCGGTAAAGTCACGTAGAATGGAAATAATAAAATAATAAAAATTAAACATAAAATAATTCTCACGACGTTTCGGCCACAACGCAAGCAGACTGTCTTCTCGACAGACCTGTTCTTCACCTGAGGACGGCTGCTTGCGTTGTGGCCGA